TGAGGGGCACCTTGAGTCTGAAAAGGTTGAGAGCCACTAGATGCTTTTGAAACCCCTTCTCTTCTTTGCATTTACTGTATTCACCCAAATCCAAGATTGCCTTGAATTTAGGATGACCCCCCCAATAATTCTATCCATGGGAAATTTATATATTTGTCATAATTTTCCATACATAAAATCTAATTATTGGTGGGGGGGCTGTCTTAAATTCATTGCCCCCCACCACTGCAGCAGGGAAAACAGGCAAGGTAGCAGGGAGGATCCAGCAGCCTGACCCCTGAACCTGACCTGATCTCTGCTACCTGCCCCCCCTGCAGTGCCTGCAGCCCCTAGCACTTGCCCCCACAAGCCCTGCTGTCTGTGCCCCCATGCTGCGGTGCCTGCACCCTCATCCCCATGACCACCCCTCTCCCCTCGAGTGCGGACGAGGCCCATGAAAGTTGGAAAGCATCACGTCAGCCATCTGGACAGAATCGGCTCGTATCGTCAGTGGTTTGAGGGTCTCAGTTTCAGAGGTGCTGCGGGAATACGTGGGGCAGATTTTAGGCGGGGGTAAATTACTGTGATTTTGTCGAAGAGCGATGCCAAAGTCGCTGGCCTGTGGCATGGTTTCTGCACAGCTCCCTGAGCTTCCTGCTGGCTCAGAGAGGTCGTGGGCTGCAGTTAATAATTGGCCTCTAAAAAAAAGTGTGATTTTTTTTTTTTAAAGCTTCCCACAACCTTAGAAAAATGCCTATAAAGTAATATGTAGGTTATGAAAATAGGGGGGAAGCCATGTGATGCCACAGACGGCTCCTCAGCTGGTGAAAATCATGGCAGCTATGTTGACCGACACCAGCTGAGGATCCAGCCCATCCTACTATGGGTTGGATTCAGCCCAATACAGCATTAACGGCACTCATAGGAAATATATTCTGGTTGTGAATCTTGATCTCTGGGGGGAAAGTGTCTGGCGTTACAACAACATGTTTTGCCCTCTCGCAGTTGGTGTTCTTAGATATAAATGTACCCATCCAGCGCAAATCCCAGCCTTTTTCCCTTTTCATTTTTTTTTTTCTGCATTTCATTCTGCATTTAATGTCTGGGAAAGCATGACCCTGAAGGAGATGAATGCAAGCTAGCTTGAGAGGGGGTGTGTGAAAATTTAGCCTTGCTCAGATTAGTTCAGAACAAATAGCAGGGAAAGTGTGAAGAAACTGTTCTGCTGATCGTTCGGCTTCCGTGCGCGCGCGCAACAGGTTTATGCCCAAGGGAAAGTGCTGAAAACTGAGAATTTAAAATGAACAGAGCTTTATGAATCGATTGGTCGGCTGCGCTCTCGGAGTGGGAGTAGGAGTCTGATGGCACTTCTCTTTCTAAACCCCCATTGCCTTCCCTGCAGGGTTTTCTTTAACCGTGTATCTGTGAATGGCCAAGATTCAATTACTTCCTTATCTGGAAAGTAAGTCGGAGCCCGGTGATTGTTTTGGTGCCAGCATTCAAGATTCCCTCTTGCTCTTCATACTTTCCATGATAATATTGATCATGTATGGCTGGCAATTCCCAGATAACACAGGCGTTTCCGGTATTAAAAATATGCATGATGTACTGACCTGACCAAAAGGAAATGTTTCACTGAGTGACACTGAGACTGCTGGTTAAAAAAGAAAAAAAAAATCACACCTTTCAGAAAAATCTTTACCTGTTTTGCCTTTGAATGATCTTTTAAATGTTATCTCCCTCCGAGAGACATTTTTTCTCCTGCTTTGCATTTCTTTCCCACCAGGACAATGAGTTTTCAGTGGGGGAGGGACTGTATTTGCAACCTTCAACTATTGCAAGTGTGAAATGGGCCCTGTTAAAAAATATTTATATATATTACATTTGACAGTGGCCTCTCTGCACCAGCCAATACTGCTGGGTCTGTTGTTCTCACCTTAGCTCCCGCTGTCAAATTAATTACTGTGAAGGACTAAGCCTGCTTCATTCATGTGCTCTTATTAGCTTACAGGATGTGTCAGATGATTGGATTTTTAGCATTGTTTCTTTTTTTGTGTTCTAGGTTTTCCATTCAAGATCTGCAAGTTGGGTTGGGGAGGCAACACCGCATCTGATTTTGATCTCTCACTCCTTTCACACTGGTGTGATTCCAGTGATGTGGATGATTTGCATCTGATTTGTAAGCTGTAAACGCAACCAGATTTTGATTACATTATATTGGAAATGAGCAAGGTAACCGGGACTGCCATGTGATTTTGACCTGAAGAATTGTTTCCCTTTGCATCTTGGTATAGAGCAAGAAGCAGAATCATAGAAATAGAAATTAAGGGCTGGAAGGGACCTCATGTTTGAAAGCAATATATCTTCTTATCTACACAGGTGTCCCATATATTTTAAAATAATGTTGGTGTTGCAATAGCACCCAGAGCCTCCTCCTGGGCTTGATTGGAGTTCAGTGGCACGAGTTTTTATAGACGGAGCGATACTCCAGACCTGAGTTTACAATCTGAAGAATCAAGGCAGTAAAAGGGAAGTTTTATCAACCCTATTTACAAGTGGGGAATTGAGGCACAGGGAGGTTTAAAGGAACTTGCTCAGAAAATCCCTGAACTCTGGTCTTGTGCATCCCCATTGTAACCCTTGCTTTGGCTGAGAAACACGAATTTCACGTCATGAGAAGCGTTGATGTTTTTGTGAAACTTTTCCTGTGTGACTGCAGGGGGCAAAGGAGGGCAAGGACGGCGTCCTGGCTGTGGGACACTGGGTGCAAACTGCTGCTCTAGCGGACTCGGAGAGTGAACGCAGGGGTCCCACGTCCCAAGGAACTGCCCTGGCCCCTGGGAAGGGTCCTGTTGCCTGCTGCAACCAGAAACTATCCTGGACCTCAGGATCCTTTTTAGTGAAAAACAGCTGACTCCTATGACACACTTGCGTTTGGACAAATGACATTTTTCCAGTTTTCCCAAGTAAAAAAAAACAATCCCACCCCTTGACTATAACCGCAAAACAACTGTTCCTTCTTCTATCTTTTCCAGGTAATGCCGGAAGGCCGTCTCTTTAACAGCTTTGCAAGCAAGGTACTTAGACGCAGAAAAGTAAGGAAACTTCACCAAGTCCGTATTTAAAATAAACCAAAAATCATTTGCTGTATTTCAAATGAATAGGCTACCATGTTAACAGAGCCCGATCCAGGCCGAGTATTAAAAGAAGTCACCAACTGTTTGTTTGGACGCAGGCCCTGGACTACAGCATCGGCATTTGTATTTGCAATGTGAAGTGCAAAGGAGCTTATGTAATCGGTGTGGCTGAATTTGTGAGTGTGTATTCACAGGTAAGAAGGCATTATTATTGAATTCCAGCTGCTGAATGTGTATGAACAGGTAATAAGACATATTTATCACTGATTTTGCTTCTCCTGCTTTATCCAAAGACCACTGCTACGCAAACTCTGAGGTCGATTTGGTGCTCAATTTATCACTCGGGTTCCCAACACCTTCAAAACCCGTTCTCCGTAAAACTCGGGTAGATGTACCTCACGTTATTATCAAGACCCTGGCTGGGCCTGAGGGCTGTCTTTTCAAGACACGGCAGGTACCAAAGACAGGCACTGGTGATGCTGAAAATTCAGAGAGGGATTAAAAGGAATAAAGCTTTCTGGATAATGGAAAGGGAGGGAGACGTGCGGGCAGAGGCGCTTCCCCAGCCCCCTCGCAGCCTCCAGAGAGAAGGCAAAGGGCTCGTTAGCGCCAGGAGCCCCTGCCCCTGCGTGCCGGAGGGCTGGCAGCGCTGGCACGGCCGGCTCCTGGCAGGCACGGCGCGGGGCATCGTCTTGTGTTGTCGTCCCCTGAGCAGGCAGAGATCAGCCCAGATTGTGACAGGCAGGGCAACTGCACTTGACCCAATTCCCTCATGACAGCGACCTGGCCTCCCTGGCACCCTGACAGCGCAGCAGCAGGGCCACAGCAGCCTTCCCCGCTCTGCCTCCCCAGGGCTGGTCCCCTGCCCCGAGGAGCAGCGCTGCTCCCTGCAGCCCCGGGCCAGCTGGCCCGCTTCCAGCGCCGGGCGACAGGCGGCGCCCTCCGCCCAGCCTTCCCGTGTCCCGCGGGGAGGGACACACACACACACACACACACGCGCGCGTGCACACACATGCATGAGTGCCAACACACACACACACACACACACACGTGCATATGCACACACACATAAACACCTGCATAGGCATGCACATCCACACCCGCCTGCACACACATGCATATGCACACACACACACACATGCATGAGTGCCAATACACACACGTGCATATGCACACACACACACACACAAACACCTGCATAGGCATGCGCGTCCACATGCCTATGCACATACACACACACGCATGCATGCACGTGCAACCCCGCGCGCACACATGCACACACACACATATGCACATGCACAGCCGCCTGCAGAGGCATGCAGCCCTGCACACACACACACACACACGCACGCACGCATGCACACACACAGATGAGCATGCACTGTATTCACTCACTCTGCACATGGACACACAGACACAAACACACTCTTCCTCCTGCCATAAACAGACACGTGCATGGACACCC